CAAGATGAATGCACGATGCTGCAGCACGCCCTCGACAATGAATTAAGTCATCCTCTTCCTCCTCCTCCTCCTCCTCCTCCTCCCCCTCCTCCCCCTCCTCCTCCTTCTCGGTCCTCTTCCCCTCCTCCTCCTCCTCCTCCTCCTCCTCCTCCTCCTCCTCCTCCTCCTCCTCCTGCAGCCGTTGGAAATTTCAACGTCAGATACAAAAACGGTGTGAAAATCTCATGCGAAACTCCCAGCCCACTCACGACACTTCTGATGGTGCGATAAGGAGGAGCCACCTAGAAGAAAAAATATTAGAGGAGGATGGAGGCGGATGGGGGCGGATGGCAGCGGAGGAGGAGGAGGAGAAGCAGGAGGAGGAGGGAGCAGGAGGAGGACGAAGGATTCGTTTCCCAACGATCATGTGGTGTTGGGTCCTCGTTTTGAGGAGACAGCGACCCGCCTCCTCCTCTCCTCTCCTCCTCCCTCCTCCCATCCCTGCCTCTGCTTTCCAAATCTCCACCATTTTGGCGCACCCCTCACATGTTTCGTGGCCCCATAAGGAGCTCCATCTAAGGTCCCGGTGGCGTAATTCGCATGCATCCCGGCCACGTATTTCGGCACACCCTCACACGCTTCGCGGCCCCATGGGGAGCCACACCGAAGGTCCCAGTGGCGCAGTTCGCATGCGTCCCAGCCACCAATTTCCGCACACCCCTCGCACGCTTCGTGGCCCCATAGGGAACTCCACAGAAGGCGCCACTGGAGCAGTTCGCATACGTCCTGGCCACCCATGTCGGCACACCCTTTACACGTTTCGTGGTCCCACAAGGAGCGCCACCGAAGGTCTCAACGGCGCAATTCGCATGCGCCCCGACCATTCATGTCGGCACACTCTCACACGTTTTGAAGCCCCATCGGGAGCTCCACCGATGGTTTCAGTGGCGCAGTTCACATGTCGCACGCTTCGTGGCCCCATAGGGAGCTCCACCCAAAGCGCCACTGGCGCAATTCGCATGCGTCCTGGCCACCCATGTCGGCACACCTCTCACACACTTCGTGGCCCCAAGGAGGCCTGCATGCCTCGGAGTCTGCTGGGTCGCGTTGGAATATTTCTGGATTGTGCAAACTCCCACGACTCCGACGGACGTCCCGCCGAGGATTGGGACGCATGTGGAGCAGCCAATCCCGTCGCAGAGGACGTCGGGGGAGGCGCCAAGATGCAGCAGTGAGCTGCCCAGGCTGCAATGACGTCGAAGTGCGGAGAAAAAACGTTTGCGAGAACTCCACATATCCAGGGCCGTGTGCCCCCAGGGGAAGGAAGCTGACAGGGCAGCTACGATCGTGCGCTTGGCACTGTCGACGGCAATTCTGGCACAACCAAGGAGAGGAGAAGCTGCTCCCATTTGCGCAGGCGCGCGGGGTAGTTAGATTTGATGCGGGAAAAAATGACCTTGTGGGAGCTGCGTGCCGTTCGAGATCGGCGGAGGAGTCGACAAGCAAATATGATGCTGAAAGGAATGATGCATCGCCATTATTGTCCTGGCGTTGTCGAAACGCAAAAGCACCTGATGCTAAGCTCTCTGGTTACGCTGCACACGGTGCCACGGGGGCTCGGGTCGAGATATCCGTGAGGAGGATGCTGAAGAAGGACCCGCGTGGCGCCTGCTTCCACTGGCGGCCCGCGGGTGGGCTGCGCGTCAATGAGTGGCGCGGAACCGGCTGTCAACCGCTCGAGGACGGAAAATCGAGGAGGGGGAAGCGGAAGAGGAGGAGGTCGTCGTCGCACGCAGGCATGGCCAGGGGCGTGCTCGATGCATCAATCAGGCTCAGAAGAACACTGCTAAAGGAGAGAAGGAGGAGGGAGTCAGGAGAAGGGAGATTTGGATTGCGCATATGATTCAAGCGCTGGCTGGTCAGGTTAGAAATCTGCACTCAGCACGCCGAACAAGCGTTTTGCGTCGCAGCGCGGCAGAGGCAGTCCGCACGCGCGTCCAAGCAACCCAAGCTACGGTAATGCGAACTGTCCCGCATGCAAGAGCGTGGGGGGAAGACGAAAGGCGGCCGCGCAGACGGGAGGCGAGAAAAGAGAGCGCTCTCACGCGGCGGGGCCGCGGGGGGCACGCGGGGCGGCCGTGCCGCAGGCCAGCCCCTGGCAGCGAGCGCAGGGTGGCGTCGCGGGCGCACCCAGGGAAGGAGCCGGCGGCGGCAGTGCCGGCAGTGCAGGGCGGGGCCCAGAAAGCAGGGGGTGCAGGAGCGGCGGGCCGCCAGGGTGGCGGGCCAAGGGCGCGGTGAGGAAGGGCTGGTAGTGGCTGTGCCACGACTGCTGCGGTGGGCTGGGCGCGTGGCCCTGCGCCAATGCGCCGTGGCAAGAGGCGAAGCGCGACCGCGGCGTGGGGAGGGGAGAGGCGGCGAAAGGCGGGGCCAAGAGGCCAGGCAAACCGAGTGGCTAGAGAGAGCCCAGGTGTCCGGCTGCCGCACAGCGGCGCGTGGAGGCCACGCACAAGTCCAGGGGCGG